GAGGGAAGGGGCGGCAGCGGCGGCCATGGCCATTTCAGTTTTACTTTCTTCTTTGGCTCTTAAACACTTGGAGGAATCAGATTAAAATCCATGGCTAAATCAACAACTGGACCAATGATGAGCAGAACGGAATATAATTCACGATATCACTGGATTTGGTTTTGCTGCCAATGAACTCCTTGTGACCAGAGACACACAGAGGATTTCTGGAGACAACCGGTTCAGATGAGAGGAGAGGGGAAAAGGCGGAGCTCATCCCGTCGCTGCTTCTAGACGCCGCCAACCACCGCCATCCACTGCTATCGTCGGATCTGTTCACGGGAAGAAGTCGTCGGATCTGCCTTGCTGCTGGCGCCATGCTACCATTAACGGGGAAGAGGGGGCGAAGATAAAGAGAGAAGCACGAGAAGGGAGGGGAGCTGGCCATTGTCGCTGGCTACTTGCTTCGCCGGAAAGGAACGCCCGACAACGAGAGAGAAAGAGAACAAAAGGGATGACAGAGGCGAAAGGCTACGGTGGTGTCAGTTTAAAAAATGCTTACATGTCAATACTACTGGCTCATGTCATTAGGTTTACCTGGAAATCTGTAAAAAATGTTAGACGATAAAAAAATTTTAGTTTGTGCATCGAATTGACAGTTATGAAAGGTCATGGTGCGACATGACAAATCTCTATTGATTCATGGTGCGGAATGGCACTTGAGCCAAAAAAAAAAAAAGAATAGTTCAATGTCAAATTAGTCAAGTCAATGTGGTTACCCTATTGCAGGACATCATTATACCCCAAAAAATAGTTGTCCACATTCTCTTTTAATTTTAGTATGTTCTAAAATGTTACTTTCATAAAACAAACATTACAAATAACTCTGTTATTTTATATTACACATCTAATAAAATTCATTGATTAAAAAATTATTCATTTTTTTTTATTGTGAGAGAAAGATCAATTACTAGCAAAATCTTGCCCACAATAACTGCGACAAGTAGACAACCATTTGTTGAAAAATATTTAATTTTTGAAAACGTACGCCAACACATAGAGCATCCCCAGTAGGAAGTTCTTCAATGGTTTTTACAGTTAGTCATAAAGGTAAAGTTTTGAAACAATGATTCAGGATCAAGTCTTATCAGCGACAGTATAACCTCTCAAAGTGAGGGGCCTGTTCAGCTGAGTTATCACGATTTACATCTTCCCAGTTGCTCTGTCGGGTCGGGCCTCTTGGAGTTGGAGATTTAACCTTTTGGAACAATTTTTTTTTTTTTTTTTTTTTTTACAGGTTTTAAAGCATATGTGGAGGAGAGAGAAGGTTTTGAGTGTTTGCTGGAGATGTTGGTTTTTGTGACAATCGTTATACCGCCTCCCAAAACGACGTCGTTTTGTTAATTTGTATGGGGAGTTGACGTGAGAGAGTGTATGCGTATTCTGTTACTAGTTTTTTACGCGCATTGCGCGATTGAGATAATGTCCAATATTTTTTTTAAATAAGTACTTTAAAGTAAATATCAAGGCAAAATTATATTAGAATTGTTCATGCATAGATAATTGAATGTTAAATTTGCATATTTAAATAAGCAATTCTAAATTTACAAATGCAAGACAATATAGTCAAGATTGATTATAATTGTCAATAAAATAATTGTATAGGTATGGTTGAAACCAAATACGGGACATAAGGGAAAGCAAATAAAAATTAGGCATAAAATATTGAATCTACTATACTAATAAGAGCACAAGAGAGTTAGACCTATAATGAGTATTAAAAATGGCGGTCATAATTTTTTAATCAAATGAATGGCTCAGATTGATCAGATTTTAATTTTTTGTTAAGATTTCCTAATTTATCCTTAATGAATATGATTATCCGTTAACTTTCCATTAAATATTATATTTTCCGTTAAGTTCTGTTAGTTCACCGTTAACTTACTCATTGATTTCAATAAGAATGATCTTAGGTTCGAACCCCATCCCAATCAAAGTTTGCATAATTAGTATTCTATTTTACTCTTATTAAATTAAATAATAATTTAGTAGCTACAACAAAAAAAATACATATGCATTTCTTTAATTTAGAATTATGTGTCTACAATGTCTTTATTCAAAAAAATTTATTCATTATCAATAAATTAAATAAGAGACCAGGACTATGTGGTCCAATGGTACCCGGGTTGGACTTCCATTTGGAAGGTTATGAGTTCGAGCCTCAGTGGAGGCGTTATTAGCTCTTTGTGTTTCAGTAGGTTGAGAAAGTATATGAACAGAAAGAGAAATAATTTCATTAGTTATATTGTCTTTATTTTTCTCCAATATAAAAATTATTTACATTCAAATTCATCAATTGATTATATTCGCTACATTGTCCATACAATGTCTTTACTAAAAAAAATTATTCATTATCAATAAATTAATTAATAGACATAATTTTATTAGTTATATTGTCTTTATATTTTTCCAAGTAAAAATTCTTTACATTCAAATTTCAAATTCATCAATTGATTATATTCATTACATTGTCTATATCTTTTTTTTGCACTATTTTTTAATTAAATATCAAAGTTATAATACAAAATAATGCTATATATTTATTTACCAAGTATTTTATTTATACCATTAAAAAATTAAAAAAAAATATAATTAATATAGCCAATCATATTAGCTCCTTGAGGGATTTGTTGACAAAGGTAGTATTCAAATCGCACAACAAATTGAAGTGAGAACTAACTCGCAATGTCCTTGTTTGACAATCAGCAGTTAGCAGTTAGCGGTTACAACTAATTTTTTTCAAATATCTTTTTACCAACTGTTGATATAATTCGCTGGTCAAATTTGCTAATATAATCCGCTAACGCTAACCGCTGATTGTCAAACAAGGACATTGCGAGTTAGTTCTCACTTCAATTTGTTGTGCGATTTGAATACTTCCTTTGTCAACAAATTCCTCAAGTAGTTAATATGATTGGCTATATTAATTATATTTTTTTAATTTTTTAATGGTATAAATAAAATACTTGGTAAATAAATATATAGCATTATTTTGTATTATAACTTTGATATTTAATTAAAAAATAGTGCAAAAAAAAAGATATAGACAATGTAGTGAATATAATCAATTGATGAATTTGAAATTTGAATGTAAATAATTTTTATATTGGAGAAAAATAAAGACAATATAACTAATGAAATTATTTCTCTTATTTAATTTATTGATAATGAATAATTTTTTTTTTAGTAAAGACATTGTATGGACAATGTAGCGAATATAATCAATTGATGAATTTGAATGTAAATAATTTTTATATTGGAGAAAAATAAAGACAATATAACTAATGAAATTATTTCTCTTATTTAATTTATTGATAATGAATAAATTTTTTTGAATAAAGACATTGTAGACACATAATTCTAAATTAAAGAAATGCATATGTATTTTTTTTGTTGTAGCTACTAAATTATCATTTAATTTAATAAGAGTAAAATAGAATACTAATTATGCCAACTTTGATTGGGATGAGGTTCGAACCTAAGACCATTCTTATTGAAATCAATGAGTAAGTTAACGGTGAACTAACAGAACTTAACGGAAAATATAATATTTAACGGAAAAGTTAACGGATAATCATATTCATTAAGGATAAATTAGGAAATATTAAGAAAAAATTAAAATCTGATCAATATGAGTCATTCATTTGATTAAAAAATTATGACCGCCATTTTTTCTACCCATTATAGGTCTAACTCTCTTGGGCTCTTATTAGTATAGTAGATAGTAGATAGTAGATATAATTATGTTATACAATTATGTACATTCTTTTATACAATTATGACATCCGAAACAGTGAATTTTTTTTAAGAGTTAAAAGTTTATGTGTATTATGTATTATGTTAGATTATGTGTATTATCTTTTCAAAAAGGAGTATGTGTATTTTATTATACAATTATGTACATTCTATTATACAATTATGTACATTTTCGAAACATGAGATTTTTTTTTAAAGAAGTTACCAATCGACACGGAAAGCGAAATTTCAAAAAAAAAAAAAAGTACAAAACGACGTCGTTTTGCACCAGGGCGCACAATGCAATATGCACCCTGGTGCAGAATATAAATTGCCTTTTTGTGATTAGTGCGCCTCACCAAAAAAAAAAACAAATAAGCTCCCCGGTGCGCCTCAGGTGCACCAGAAGCGTCCAGCCGAACGTTTAACCATTCTTTTTTTTTTTTTGAAAACTTATTTTTCTTTTTTTTTATTTTTTATTTTTCCATCTCTCCTCTTTTCTACTTGGCTCCTAAAAACTAAACTATTGAGGATACTCTTCGCACAAACAAAGACAATGTAGTACACGATTTTTTTAAATATTAGTTGATTCCAGCTACAAGAAAATGTTATGAGTATCATCATGGTTGCTGAATTTATAATACAAAGAAAGTTCAAAATGGAACAAAGTAATAATAAACTTTCCCCAAGAGATGGAGTGGCTGTTGACTGCTTTAATTTACAATGCTAATGGAGCACAAATTCATGATGGACAATTAGGGATTTTTAGGGTCCACCCTCACCCATACACAAGATCCTACTCAAAACAAATCAAGAATGTAACACATAATGGAGCACCCTCAATTCCTCTTTAGCCTACACATCATTTCATATAGTATAGTCCAATGGGTCATTATGCCTCTCAACATTTATGCCCCCATTCTCTCATGAATATGTATGAATGAGGGCTGCATTTTGTATTTTTGTATTTGTATCCCACCTCAAATTCTCTACGAATATGAGAATTGTTATGGCTCCGGTGCCTTTTATATTGGGTAACCAGGTATATATACCTTTTGTACCAGATATTTATATAATCATGCATGATATGTCTGATTATACCGGGTAACCAGGCGTACCTTTTGTACCAGATATTTAAATAATCATGCATGATATGTCTGATTACACTGGGTACTGTGAAGACGAAAGTTGACAATACCTATACAGCTCAGAAAACATATATGAAAAGTACAGAAGGAGATATCAGCTGATTAAAACAAGTATTGTCCTGGCAGTAAATATTGCCTACTAACAGTTCAAATTCTCAGCTAAAAATGCATAAAAGATGAGCAGAGAAGCTCAATTCAACTAATATAAGCAAAAAGATTGTTCTGAGCTTTTTGCTTCTGAATCTCGAATTCTCCAGGACACACACTTCAAGAGAATATCGCGAGGGGCAAACATCTCGGTTCACTTTGAATGTCGATGGTTTCTTTATTCGAAATAAACAGCGGGAAAGAAGAAGAAGAATCACGATGGGGTTGCAGCAAAATCTGTAAGCTAGCTAGCTGGCCTCGTTTATGTTTGGCAGAGAGGAAGAATAACAATCACGACGAGTAAACCTTAAAACCATCCCGTCCCTTACTTGAATGCGCGGTTTGCTGAAAGCCAACTCTCCAGGAACATATTCGGGGCAAAACTCGGTCTCTTCTAACATCACAAGATATGCACAAACTTGGGTGCATCGGTTCTTGGCCCATCGAGGGACCGGTACATGTATAAAGTATCAACCTCGTTGTTCCTATCCATCCCTTCCTCGTCCCTATCTATCACTTCCACCACTAGGCGTGGCAATTCCCGAGCAATCTTCTCACAACATTCCCGACTTGCCTTGCAAGACGACATCCAGAGAAACCTCATGTTGTAAAAACGGTGCAAACCAGCACGCAAAGCCAAATCCCCGAACGGACTGTCCCTGACTTCGAGCTTCTGCAGCTTGGGGCAGCCATCGAGCACGTGCTTTAGCCCCGTGTCACTGCCTCCAGCAAACGCAACTGACAAAGTGCGCAACGATTTCCCGTATTGTCCAATATAACCGAAAGCCTGGTCGGTCAATAGGCCAGATAAAGCGAGGCGTGTAAGGCTCTTACAGTTCTTAACAATAGCCCCGAACCCTTCATCCATCGGTTTACCTGTCAGGTAGTCGGGCCTGTGTCGCCCCATAATACAGAGGCGGAATACCATAAGATCGGGGCAGTTCTTCGACATCGCTACGACAGCAGCATTAGTCATTTTCTGGCAGAAATACAATATGGATTGAAGTTTCCGACAACCCTCAGCAATTGCTAGCAGACCTACCTCAGAAACGGGGCCATCTGCAGCTTCTTGAGGATCAACAGGGAAAACCCGAAGCTCTCGAAGATCTCTACACGTTGCAGCTACAGCCTTTAGTCCCTCGTCACAAACCGAATCAAGTACCTGGGCAGGACAGAATTTTAAGGTAAATAAAACAAAATCCCCACAAGTTTTCTAGGAGACTAGGTAGCAGAATTCCTATTACGTACCCAGAAAACCTGGAGTTTGTGGCAGTGAGAAATGATCTCTATGACTTGCTCGTAATAGATGCTCGCATAGCTGAAATTAAGAGAGGTGAGGTTGGCACAAATCGGGTATATTGCACGAAGATGATCCGGGAAAAAGTCCCTGAATCCCGAGAGGGACACTAATGATTTGCAGGCAGCGAAAGCGGAAGCATAGTCGGGTTCATGTTCAACCGTAGCAAGAATTTCAAAGGGTCCATACGCCCCCGTGCCCAGATGGGTAAGCTGTGGAGCTCGAACAATAAGTCGATAGAGCTGCTCGGGCGAAACAAAGCGATTCAGTCCAAGTTTCTTCAAGGATGGCGACCTCGCTACTAGCTGCTCCAACGCCTCGAAATTCACCTCGCAATCAACACAGTCGAAGATCAAAGACTCGAGGCAAGTTTTGTCCTCTGGGAAAGATGAAAACCAATCCACTTCATTATCCACAACCTCACACTCCAGTAGATCAAGCACCTTTATTTGCCTGTCATCAAAGCATTCCCATTACACATAAGGCAAAAATATTAGTAAATGACACAAATTTCACACTGAACTTGTAAACCCTCACTAGTCAAGCCAAAGTTTAAGACACTAGGGGCAACCCCAACCAAGTTAGTCAGACTGTTGACTTGGTAACCATAAGTTTACAAGTTGACTCCCAATCGGAGCAGCTTAGACTTTCTTGGTTTGTGCCGCACGTAGGTTGGTTTACCCCTTATGGTCCAACTAGGTCATAAGGCAAGATTTAGTCAGACTGTTGACTTGGTAACCACAAATTTACAAGTTGACACCCAATCGGAGCAGCTTAGACTTTCTTGATTTGAGCCGATCAGGGACAACATAGGTTGGTTTACCCCTTATGGTCTGACTAGGTCACAAGGCAAGATTTAGTCAAACTGTTGACTTGGTAATCACAAGTTGACTCGCAATTGAAGCAGCTTAGACTTTCTTGGTTTGAGCCGATCACGGACAACGTAGGTTGGTTTACACCTTATGGTCTGACTAGGTCACAAGACGGGATTTAGTCAGACTGTTGACTTGGTAAACACAAGTTTACAAGTTGACCCCCAATCGAAGCAGCTTAGACTTTCTTGATTTGAGCCGGTCAGGGACAACGTAGGTTGGTTTACCCCTTATGGTCCGACTAGGTCACAAGACGGGATTTAGTTATACTGTTGACTTGGTAAACACAAGTTTACAAGTTGACTCCCAATCGGAGCAGCTTAGACTTTCTTGATTTGAGCCAGTCAGGGACAACGTAGGTTGGTTTACCCCTTGTGGTCCGACTAGGTAACAAGGCGGGATTTATCTATTCGAGTAGTAGCTGTGAGTTTCCATGGATACCCAAAAGTTTAAGACAGAAACAAACAAATCTTAGGCTGAAAAAGGAGACAACTTTGGAAGAATTTAAAAACAGAACATCTGAAAACCCAGATCTATGGTGTTTTTTTTTTAAATTTCAAACCCAAATGAATAGATAAAAAAGAAGGTGTTTTACTGACCTGCACTGACTAGCAACGACGGAGAGTCCACTGGTACCAAATCCTTCGCAGCAGACGAGAATCAGCTCCTTGAAGTTGGGGAAAGAGCGAGACAGCACGACAAGATCATCGTCCGTAACAAACATGCGTTTAAGGTACACCTTCTCCAGCGCACAATAAGCCTCGGCCATGGCGGCGACCCAGCGGGAGAAGTAGGCGCCCCAGTCCGGCGGGAGCAAGCTGAAATCGGCAAACCGGGGCTTACCCTTTATGCTCACCGATTTCACCCGCCCGAACCGCCGCGAAACCCGCTGCGGCGACACGGCGTAGCAGTTCCCGATGAACACCTCCGATCTCGTCATCGCCTCCACCCGGTACCACGCCTTGCACACCAGCGCCGCCGCGTTGCGGTCGCGCCGGTCGGTGAGAAAGCACAGCACGTTCTCCAGCACATTCTCCAGGACCTGATCCGGGCACGGCCGCGCGTAGTAGTGGTTTCCGGCGCCGGCGCCGTCGTCCCCGAGATCGGAATCAGAAGAAGAAGGTATCGGGATCGGCGCCTTTTCCTCCGGCGACATTTCTGAGCATACATCAGCACCCATTCTACCACTAAAATCACTACTTCTCACTCAACAAATCTTCTTCTTCTTCTTCAATTCCTTCTCCCCAGATTCAATGATTCATCAACAACATTCCCAGAGGGTGCCTGGAAATCTATATAAACAACTAATTAAGTAAATCAAAACCTTCAAATATTCATACCTCTACCCAGACAAGAAATGATTTAAAAATCGCATCTTTTTCAGATTATGAGTGGACTGAGACTGAAAGTAAACAGGTTCAACGCAAGCTGAGCTGTGTGTGATCATGGAGGGGAATTCCATGTTCCTTTACTTCTAAGCTTTTTTTTTTTTTTTTTTTTTTTTTTTTTAGTGGCTCACAAGTCAGTATGTCACAACACATCTGCTTCCATTATTTCGTGCACTCAAGCATTTTTTTTTTTTTACTGAATTTTGATAAAGCATGGAGAATGATTATGCATCATGTGAATAATGTTACATTGTATATTTTATACAAGTTAGTACTTTATTTTTATTTTATTTTATTTTATTTATTGATTTACCTACCTTTTAAATAAATATGAATTTTCATAATAAAGTTGGTGAATTAATAAACAAAGGAAAGTGACAATTTTCATCATGTATTGTAAGGAAATAATGCTTTTTAGTCCATCAATTATATCGTTAATATTTTTTGTCTCTCAATTATTTACAAAGAACTTATGATTTTTTAATTATTTGTTAAGGAGGCGGAAGCGTTCGGTATTCACGAGGCTCTCAGTTGGCTGAAAGGATTGAATCTTGGGCATGTCGATGTGGAGACTGATTCTCAGCTTACTTTTAATGCTTTATGTTATGAATCTTTTAATTCGTCTTTTGGGTTTATTTTAGATGATATTAAGGAAGTTGCATCTCAATTTCCCGATGTAATTTTTTATTTCGCTAGGCGATCGGCGAATCGTGCTGCTCATGCTGTTGTCAGGGAAACCGTTTCTATGTCAGATTGCGGGGAACGATTTGACTCCCCTCCTGCTTTTCTTGTTAATATTCTTACTTCTGATTCAATGAATTAAGTTTTTCCTCTAAAAAAAAAGTGTATATTTTTCTTAAAAATAGAGATAAAATAGTATAGAATTTTTGTCTTAGAATAAAATTATTGACATCCACCTTGACTACTTTTTTGGGGTCTTTTTCATAAAACTTTAACTCCTTTTTGCAGTCTATATTCTATAAGAAAAGTGGTAGATGGACTCCATAGAATATAACTCTATCAAGTGATTAAATTTTATTGGAGGAAGTAAAAGAACAGAATAAAAAAATCATAATTCATTCCCTTTTATTAAAGAATCAAGCATGACACCTCTATAGTTCTTCATGAGGGAAGATCACAAGATTGAATTTCGGTGGTGGGTATTGACCCTTTGAGCTGTAACAGATAGAGATCGAACATCAACGCTGGGATATTGACTCTTTAGACAGCAACAGATAGAGAATGAATAGAACATATACTACATTAGGATTTTAATTTTCCCAAACATAATGGGAGATATTGTATTTTTTTAAACTCTTGTTTATTTATCAAATCAATTGTATGTTTAATTACTATTTTTAGAGAAGAGAATTAAATAAACTCTTAAAAATATAAAGTTGTGAAGTTTTTTGCACTTTTGGTCTCACGACTATAGTGACACTGTCAGAATTGATCTACGACTTTCAAACTTTGCAATTTTAGTTCACAACTATTGTTTTTTTTTTTTTTTTTTTTGTGGCAAAAATGGTCCTTCCGACCACTTTTCCGTCAAAATTCCACCGGAGAAAAATTTCTTCATTTTAAGAAGGCTAAATTTGACATTTCGCTTGCAATAACAACATCAATACTCCAAGTTTGCAATACACATTATATAAAAGCATATTCTGCACTTTTTGTACTAGGCAAATTTAGCCATTTTAGCCCTCCTAAAACTGAAAAAAATTTTCTCCGGTGAAATTTTGATGAAAAAGTGGTCTGAAGGAGCATTTTGCCAAAAAAAAACAACAGTCGTGGACTAAAATTGCAAGGTTTGAAAGTCGTGGATCAATTCTAATAATGTCGCTATAGTCGTGGGATCAAAATGCAAAAAACTCTAAAGTTGTGTAATTAAATTCTTAATTTCTTCGTTTCACAAAAAATTCTTAATTTCTTGTTTTTTTTTTTAAATTCAATTAAATATTCGAATTTATAGAAAAGTGTAATTAATTTTACATGTTACCGTTAAGGTAACTACTAGTTAATTATTATTTTTTAACTGATTTAGTGAGCTGACATGACTTTTCATCTGTGCTTTAAAAGTTGATGTGTCATTGTGTATTATTCAATAAAAAATCAACACTACTGAAAATTATGAAATTTTCGATCATCTAAAAGTAATTTTAAATCAAGTCGAAAGCAAAAAATGGTCGGAAATAGCAACAAAGATTTTTTTGAATACCAAAAGTGATCGGAACAAAGCTTTCGACTTGATTTAAGATCACTTTCAGGTAGTCTGAAATTTCATAATTTTCAGTAGTGCAAGTTGAATAATAATAATAATAAAAATAATAATAATAATATTATTATTATTATTTATTATTATTATTATTATGAAAAATTATTATTTATGTCCCTCCATAATATGTCAATTATCAATATCTCTCCTGAATTATTAATAGTATAAATATTGACCCTCAATTTTTAAAACACTACATATATATTACCAATGTATCCCCTCATTGTCACCCCGGCCAGCTTCTACATCATTGTTACCAATGTATCCCCTCATTGTCACCCCGGCCAGCTTCTACATCATTGTTCACTTCAATTGGTTATTTTTCCATTTATTGCGATTTCAAAATTTCATAAATCTCACCCCACTAAAAGGATGTTCTGCTTTACGTTTCTTTCAGGGAGTAGACAACACAACTTTAGAATTAGATACCCTCTAACTACGTAATTACTTAATACCCTAATGCATTAATTTATAGACTAATTGTCCGCAAATTATGCCGTGCAATCGTGTGCACCCTGCAAAAACGGCGTCGTTTTAATTAAAAACGACGCGTTCGACTTTTAAAAAAAAAATCATTTTCGATTACCGTTAATGACGTTATGCTGTGCTATATATCCATATATCCATAATTAATGAACTATATATCCAGAATTAGTGAACTATATATCCAGAATTAGTGAACTATATATCCACACAGGTTACTGGTACTCTATTTTGGCTTATAGCAGTTCGCTATGTCTGTGTATTCAGAATTAATGAACTATAAATTCAGAATTAGTGAACTATATATCTAGAATTAATGAATTGTATATCCAGAATTAGTGAACTATGTATCCAGAATTAGTGAACTATATATCCACACCGAAAATGGTGTAAATCCTGTCGATTGGAGTTAAAAAAAATGATTGGTGGAGATAAACGATGCCACTAACGGCACTGTTACTCCACCATAGTGAAACAGCGTCGTTCGCAACATGGTGCACACGGTTGCACAGCATAACGATTGATAATTGTCAATACCTTTGATGGATATATTAGAAATGGAGCAAACTGACTCGGAAAGACGGAGCAAGGAGGACTCGGGCAGACCCGGGGCCCCGAGGTTGAGCCCCGTGCTTGACTCGGACTGCCCTAGGGCAAGGCCTCGGCTAATTAAGGGGCCTCAGCCACGAGGCCTCAGCCATAAGGGCTCGACCATGAGGGCTCCACCTGAGTTCTCGGCCATGAGGCCTCAGCCACGAGGCCTTGGCCGGTCAATCCATAGGTCTGGTCTCGCGACCGAACACGGTCAAAGGAGGTTGTAATCGTCCCCACCGCATTAAGGGGACGGTTAGGAGGTTTCTTATATATAAATAGCTTTGCAATTGTCTCATTAAGAAAAATTCACAATCATTGTCCTAGTTTACTATTGTAATAGCATTACACATCCTTTGTAATAGCTTTGCAACTACAAATTAATGTAATATTTGGTCTCCGGGACCTTTATCGATTGTTCTCCTATCACTTTGCCTATTTTGCCATCCATTTACATTATCTTTTATTTATCTGGTTTAATAATTCAGAACACCCAGGTTAATTAAATCTATCATTGGTGCTTTCATCATTGGTAGCCATCGCCCGAAATTCAGGACGGAGCCCCCGGAACACGTACATGTTTTGCTCATTGAGGGAGAGGGGACGACTGACCAGTGCTAAAGCCTCCACAATTAGCTGAGCGCGCCCAAGATACTCTGCCGGAGTGTTGTTGCCTTGGCGAAGGGACTGTAATTGCCCGAGTAGAGTCAGGCAACGTGCTCGAGTGGATGATCCATGTGCAGCCGTGACCGACTGCCATACCTCCCGGGAAGTGTTCCTTCCGACCACTAAGTGCATCACTTCATCCGAGAGCGATGAAATAAGGAGTGAGAGGATCGATTGATCCTGCTGCACCCAAGCTGCAAAGGCGGGATTGGCGGTGGAGACGGCAGTGGTGCCGGAGGTTGAGTCGCCGGACGGTGCGGTGTCGATGACGGGCGGTGGACACAGCGTTTGGCCATCTACGTAGCCAATGAGGCTCTGACCACAGAGGAACGGTACCAATTAGGTACGCCAAAATAGGAAATTGCGGGAGGTTAGTTTTGTGGAGATGAAGTGATGGGCTGAGGATATGGTGTTTTGGGTGGTGGCCGGAGCGGCAGTGGTGGCTGCCGTGACCGTCCGCTCTGAACTATTGGTGGACATGGTGATCGGAGGAAGCCGGTGTTTGGGAGAGAAAGTAGGAAAATGATTGTTTTGGCTAACTAATACCAGATGAGATTTGTGATTAATTCCAATGATCAATTACAGTCAGATTAACAATTACAATACTAAAGAGAGTTTATACTAAAGCTCCTAACTAATAGGCTAGACAAAGGAGACTAAGCCATTACCACAGAATTACTAAATACAATTATAATAGTAACAACATGGAAATAATAACATGACTAACAGTCGGGAATTCAAAATCGCTTCTCATACAAAAAAATTAATATGACTAACACTTTACCCCTTAATTGGCCGGCCCATTGCATCCTATGAGTGTGGTCTAACCAAAAAAAAAAAAAAAAAAAAAACATTTTATTCTTTACCCCTTAATTGGCCGGCCCATTGCATCCTATGAGCGTGGTCTAACCAAAAAAAAAAAAAAAAAAAAAAAACATTTTATTCTTCCCAAAAAGTTGAAGCCCCAACCCTAAGGGCCCCACATCCCGGCGCGACAGAGTATCTGGGAGGATGTAAGTCATGATAACTCAACTGAACCAGTGGCTAGACCTTTGCTTACTGCGTACAAGGAGCCCTCTGACTCTCACTTTGAGATCCCTGGTCATTCTTCCCAAACTTCACTCCTATGACCAGTTTATTATTAAACTTTTCTAAGTTTTTTTTTCTTTTTTTTTTCCATAGATAGAAGGATGGAGCAATTCAATAGAATGTTACATAGGAAGAGTTTCATGATTTGCTTCCATATTGTTTACTTGAACTTGCAGTTCCTCTTTCTTGTTATTATCACCATTATTCTTCACTTCTCCATAGAAATAAGATACAAATCCCCATAGCGAAAGCGCCAGTGAAATCCCCTTTTCCGGCCCAAATTTTTCTCCATAAAATACCACCGCCAACACCTCCGTGAGAGACAGTGATGCAGCGAGGATAATGCCGGAGAGCAAAGACGATCCATAGCGGATGGTTCCGACGGCTCCGATGAAGTATATCTGCCACATAAGGGCGGTGAACACTACAACCACATAGTATTTTGCTTCTCCTAGCTCAAATCCTCTGGCCTCCCTACAAATTGCCTGCACGTTCCATTATATTGTTGTGACTTGTGATATACCATACTTAGCATGCAAATTATAGGGAAATTCTACATATCTTTTTTTTTTTTTTTTTTTTTTTTTTTTTTTTTTTTCAATTATAACTATTTATATTGTTTGAATTAGCTGATTACAAATGTTTGGTAAATTAGCTGTTAGCTGATAGCTGATCACATACAAAATAATTTTTTCAAAAAATTATTGAAAAAGTTACTTTGAACAGTTTTTTGACATTTTGGAGCAATAAGCTGTTACAAAAAGTTAATTAATTAAACACTTATGTTGACTGTTTAATCAACTCAAACAACTAATAATGATCAAATAAATCAAAATTAACTGATAAACTAATTATGTTACCAAATATGGTCATTGTAATTACCTTAAAATCTTTGTTTACCAACATTCCGAGGGTAGAAACAGCAGTGGCAAAGAGGGTCATAACCATCTGAAACTCCAAAACCAAAGTATAGGTTAAAGACTGGGTTGCCTTGGTGTAAGTCAACTCTATACACGGCGCAAGAGCCCCAGACAAAGCTGCCGCCGCAAGGGTCATCAGAAACGCTGCCACGTACTCCTTTTCCGACTCCCCGGCGGGGCGGTCTCCGCCGGACCCCACAGCCAGCACCCCGGCTGCGATGGTCAACAGCATGACCGCATTGACCGTGAACACCGTGAACCGCTGCTTCACCAGGAGGAATGCGGCGCCGGCGGTGAACGCCAGCTGGGAGGCGACGATGAGAGAGGACGTGGAGACGGGGAGCTTCGAGACGCCATAGGTGTAGAGGTAGTTGATTATGCCGAGCAGGATGCCCACGGCCGCGGCCGCCAAAAATATGTTCCGAGTAATCGTGAAAAAGCTTGTGGTGCTTTTGCGGCGGCGCGTGTAGTAAGCTGCCGCGAGTGGGATGAAGTTGATGGGCCATCCGGCGGTGGAAATCCAAGTGGAGAACCATATTCTGTCGCCACCGCGGATGAAGTAGAGTCGAATAAGGAGAGGGCCGCCGCCGTTGCCGATGAACATCATAATGCAATTGAGGAAAAGGAATAGCCTCCTCCTCCTCATACTTCCCTTCCCTTGAGATGCTTCCATTTCTCACTTCAATTTGGAGATTAAACTTTAAACCATCCTACTATATACTCGCAGGACAGCACTCCTGTGAAATATTATGATTATTTTATAGTTGCAATATAATAGTATATCAATTTTAAACGTAACAACTCTCACTTGGCCACCATTAAATTATCAATTTCTCTCACTATTTTAAATTCTTTACGTTTATGCCATTTTGATTAACTTTTCACCTACATTACATTTAATAATAATAAAATGAAAATAAACAAAAAATAAAGGTACAGAAAGACTGCCTTTTCCACGCTTGCAAGCTTTCAATCAGGAAAAGACATTAACTAAGTACGATAAGTATATATACATATATAGAAGCATGTTGAAGTAAGAATAATGTTTTTGATCTAAAATGCATATTAATGACAGCCGTTGATTTAAGATGATCTATCAACGGTTCAAAGGTATAGTACGGTAAAAATATTTTTTGAAAGCTATGAACTTTCATGACCTCCCATATGGGAGAATCACTACGGGTATGTTTGGTTGGTGGGTTTTGCCCATAGGAATGGGTATGAAAGTGATTGTTATTGTTTGGTTGATAGGTTTTTAGAACACTACTATGGGTTTCGAATACCCCATCAATTGAAAAACTCATACCCAAATACAATAAGGGTTTCATTCCCTTATTCATTCTCAAGCACTACTATTAGTAACCATTCCCATTTCACTCTACTACCAAACATGTTAAATACTTTCACCAAAACACATTACAATTACCAAGTATTTGATACCCATTCCGATTTCGATTCTTATGTGCGAACCAAACACACCCTACATGTCATCTGAAGACAAGGTGCTAGGGTATAGTACGGTAAAAATATAGTGTTAATTTGGTAAATATTATGAATTTTGAACATATATATTATATAAATTTTCAGAGTACATCACTACTACTCGAATAGGTTTTTCAACTCCTACAGTTTACTCCGCATCTCTCAACTTCTTCTTCAGAGTTGAGAGTTGGATGGATTTGATGTGTTTCTCCAACTGCTTGAAGTCTTGACTTGATTGATCGGATGAATCTTCTTATAAAGATGCAAGACTTCTTTGATGATTGTAAAGAATAAATCTGGATGAGCTTCTTTGAAAACTTCACAATCACACACTGATTTTGAAAAGCTTTTGGATGAACTTGTTTGAAGAGCTTTTCTTAGATAAAATCAGTTGATCAACCAGCACCTTCTTCAGTGGTGATGAGAGGTATTTATAGGTGAAGAAAAATTCATCCGTTGGAGGGAGATAAAATTTCGAACCTATTAACCAGCGTGTATTGACCATTGGGCATGAAGCATTTATTGCGACTGTACTGTTTAGCCGTTGGAGTCCAAAAAGCATTGTGGCTTTTGTCCTTTTCCTCTGACAACAAGTACTAATCATTTAATGCTCCTTGATTTTGTGAATATCATTCCTATGACTTCTTTTGTCTAGGATGATTGCCCACTGAGAGACATAGACAACATTCCTTTTGCTCATGTATTATTAAATTTGTCTTATTTTTTTAAAGTCTGACTTAGACTTAATTGTCTCAGAAGTGTCACACGAAAGATTGTCTTTGTCTTTCGTTGTCTTTAATGATAAGATGACTTTCCTTATCATTTTACACGAGAGCTAGACCCTTCCATCTTTCGGTCTGTGTTGTTCTCTCGGTCTTCTCTTCTTCTTCACTTCTTCTCGTAGACCTAAACTAGTAAACACAACTCAGATTCGTGTATGTATCTAAACCGAATCACATGGTGAGTTGCTACTGCTTTCGTTTAACGCGAAAGTTCTAAAATGAAGAAATTAAAAAGAGGGGTCTACGATCCTAGCAAGATTGGTATCACCAAAATCTAAATACACTTGTTCCTAACAAATAGTGCAGTGACAAAAGTATAAATACATTATAAATATATAAGAAAACGCTACACTTTTGTTTAAAAAGTGTACCGGTTTAAAGAAGATGCCGTGGAGAGTTAGTATGTTGACTTTCCGCAACACTCGCTGATATGGAATGTCACGGAAAGTCAGCAAAATAAAATAATATATATATATATTGGATTGAAATGGAATGAATTTTTTTTTTACATTTTATTGTGATTTTAATGTGTTTTTACAGTTTTTAGCGATTCAAAATCAATTCATTATATTTTTATAAAAATGTAAAATAATGCATACAAAAAATTAAAATTGAGTTATAAAGAATATTAAAATAACAAAAAATAAAATTAATTTTATCATTAAAATTTATTAAACATTAGATACTACACAAAATAATTAAACAATATTATAGACAAAATTATTATACAATCACAATTTGAAATAAAAATAAAATAAATATTTTAAATAAAAACATGAAGCATGTAATTAAAATTAAACACATTTTATAAAACTAATTAAAAGATAATAAAAAAATAATCTAACAAAAACTAATGTATTCACCTCTAATAAATATGCTTAAAGCATAAGATTTTTGTCCCAACGGCATCTTATCTGGTTATAATAATATAATTATGGGAAGAATAATAATATAATTATGCTTAAAGCATAGGGTTCTTGACTTGACCATTGTACCCAGTTAGCAGTCGACTCTAAGGCTCTAAGCTCTAAGCTCTAAGCTCAGCCATTGTATATGGGTAGGAATAGCCGAATATACCCTAATTCTAATGTTTGAACCTACATTATATTCTATATATGCATATGCATACATAAATAATGGTTTTGAAGTTTTTTTTTTTTTTTTTTTCAATTAAAAAGAATATAATACTACTCCCCCTCCGGGCTTGATGGATATCATTGCAAGTGATATGATGGGAGTTTCTGTCATGCGTCGTGTTATTTCTACTGTGTAAGCTTTCTTGCCCGGGGTCTTCCCCCTCCATTCGATGGGAAAAAGAAAAAGAAAAAAAAAAGAATATTACTCCTATCTTTTATCAATAAATATTATTTTATTTCGGCATAAGTGTCAAATAGGTCCATCTACTATTGCGAAGTGCTCAATTTCCACCACGAACTAAATTAAGTGTCAAATAGGCCCATCTACTAGCTAAATTCGTTCAATTAGCTTTTTTTACAGGTTACCAACAGGTTACCTATTTATTAATTATTAAAAAATAAATAAAACAATTTTAAAATTTTTTTCTTTAAAAAAAATAAAATAATAGCCACCGGCTGTCCGGCGAGGATAGCCGGTGGCTGCCCATTCACATACAGCCGTGGCTGTCCAGCTGTCCTCGCCGGACAGCCACAACTGTATGTGAATGGGCAGCCACCGGTTGTCCTCGCCGCACAGCTGTGGCTATTATCTTTTTTTTTTAATTTTTAATTTTTTAAATTATTTTAGTTATTTATTTTTTTTAATAATTAATAAATAGGTAACCTGTTGGTAACCTGTAAAAAAAGTTAATTGAACAAATTTAGCTAGTAGATGCGACTATTTGACACTTAATTTAATTCGTAGTGATAATTGAGCACTTCGCAATAGTAGATGGACATATTTGACACTTGTGCCTTTTATTTCCACAATTATTATTTTGTATCAATATATAAATCACAATAAAATATTGAGAAAAAAAACAAACAAAAACAAAATTTCAAAATATGTACAATTATTTTTTATGAGTTAATTTTAGGAATGATTCATTAATTATTGACATTTATCAATTTTTATCTTTTAATTGGACCATATATGGTCTCTTGATCATTGAACTTTATAGTTTTCATCAACTTTCAATTTGACCAGAAATGGTTCTTTAATGATTTTGTGCAAATAATAAAATAATAATCATTGATGAAAATTAGTAATAAAACAATAGTTTCATGGATAAAAATTACTAGGAATTAAACATGTTGACCAAAATCTCATTTTGCTAATACTCGTTAAGAATAATAATTCAACCCGTTCTCGACGGGACATGTTTGAAAAAAAATTTCGGGAATAGGGACAAGGATGGGGAGAATTTCCCCATCTCTGCCGGGGACGGGAAGGGCATCCCCACCCCGATCCCTGATTCCCCATAACAGTAGCTCACTTCACGAATGTGTCTCATCAGGACGTTAATTCATAATTATTCTTAATTCCCTCCCTGGATGATAGTTATTGTTTATAATAGGCATACAAGGAATCAAAGCATGAAGTTATTGAGATATGATGCTTTTAAATTTTAATACATGATTTGTGAATAAATGATACTAATTTTGAAAATTTGAAATATGTAGAATTCTGAATGCAAATTAATTCATCAAGAATTCTTGAAAAGATGGTGTTAAGTACTTAAGTGTAGCTACTTTGTCTTATTTTCTTGTAACGAGCACTAAGATCAAGATAAATACTTTATTGAAAAAATCATTCAGAAAACACGACAGGATTTTTCGTCCCCGAAAAATCCTTCCGGAGATGGGGATGAGGGATAATTCCTCATCCTCGTCGGGGAACGGGGCGGGGACAAAGAATGGGAATATATTTCAGGGACGGGGACGGATACCCATTTCCAGCCCCCGTCCCGCCCATTGTCATCCCTAATCTTTTTGGGACCAAAGTTGATATTTGCTCCTAATGCAAATTTTATTTCTCCAAAATATAGTGAATTTGTCATTTTTTTTTTTGTCTTCAATATAATATCTGTTCATACATACTTTCCCAACCTACTGAAGCACAAAGAGTTAATCCTGACACCTCTCATTTGAGGGGCCACAGCTATGCCGCTTGACCACTTAAGAATCAAAAGTAAAAAAACTATTATACTCAAATGGTTAAACATGTATTAACTATATATATTTGGTTCTTCACATGCATTCCCGCTAATTATAAATTATGAACTCAATGTATTAAGTTTATGAACTCAATTTATCCATATCAACAAGAAGTCAATTTTTATATTATTACTCTTAAATTTTATGTTTACGTACTAAATGGATAATAAAATTTGGAACAAAATCAATAGTTACAGAACCATTTATGGCCAAATTGAAAGTCGATGATGAAAGCTGATAAAGTTCA